GGCAAAAAAGCCTGGTCTTCCTTGAAAATTTACATGTACCCTGTGACCCAAAATGCGCTCATTGTTAACGTGTCAAGCTTTTATCCCGCACTGTTGTGGTTCGACTCCCGCTGAGGGTGTTGATAAGACCGATGCCAGGTCGAAACTGCAGTCCATTGGTACCTGGATGAGAACAACTTTTGGGAAAGTAGGGAAATGTGAAATGCAATGGAAACTTCGGCTCAATTGATATCATTGTGGGACAATTCTTCTTCTACCAGTCATGCATCACTTTAAACGAAATTGGGTGAATACATCTCATATTAATGATTTACTGGTAGACACGAAAAACAATACTTAATTCATCTTAACATTTTATTTAAATCCCCATTTTTCGGTTTTTATTTGCAATGGAGAAGCACTGACTCATCTGCACCAACCTAACCGAATATCATAATTTTAACATTTCTTTTTCTCTACGTCTCTACTCGGCCTGTTGCCGACACTTTCATGTCAAGAAGCCAATTACAGCTTGGCTCATTTTGACTTTTGAAAGCTGAACAGATCTTACAAACCTGGAACTTCAGTGATCATGCTGCAATCGGACAATTTTTATCTCTCCTTCCGAATCTGCCTGCACGATGTGTTTCACTCGCAGAAAACACTGTTCAAGCTAACAATAAAAGTCGTCATAGAAACTGATTCACCTTTTCTGAGCTGATTCGTACACGTGTGAATCATGACCAATTGGCAACTAACAGATTTTATTGTAAAATTCTATCCTAATTGCATTTATTAAGGGCAAATATTAAATTTAGCCAAATAATTGAAATAAGATATGCATTAATATGAGATGTGTACTAGTAGTTCCGAAATTCAACTTATGAATAAAAAATATATTTTAATCGTAAATTACATAGGACATTTATAAATATAAATAATTGAATCTACTCTATACTATAAGATTTTTTATAGCAAAATAGAAATAGAAATTTAAGAGAATGAACCAGAATGACATAATCGTATTTATGTATTTCATTAAGATGAGTTGTAGGCTGGCTGCACTAAGGTGACCTGCGACCTATTTTGTCAACTGTCGCGTGGTTCCTCAAAAGAAGCATCAACAATCACTTGCCTAAGTAAAGATTTTCATGGCCAGGGTCATCCAGCACCTCAATTAATTGCACAATGTTTGGGTGGCGAAGCTTCTTCTGTATGGCAATCTCTCGTTGGACCCGAAGCAATCCTCGGTTTGCAGCCTCTTTGCCACGAACAAAACTGACCGATTGAGCAGGTTCGGACGTGTTGCCAGGGCCA